CGCGCGACGGCTACCGGAAATGTGCAAGCAAATATTTTCAACTTCCGCTCGCCGTCGTCGGACCTTAAGATCCCTAATAAATTAGGGGCAGCAGTTGAAGAGGATGGCCCATGGAAAGGAATGGGAAACCCGAAGCAAAAACCAGTAATCAAATAATCAGCTGCTGAAGTGGAATATCCAGACAAAAGAGGAGCTAATCTATTTATTCTGACTGGGGTTGGTAATGCGAGGCTTGGTTTGGCTGGGGGGCTTGGATCCTGACGCAAGAAAATTGTACTTACAGCTTGGATGGTTTTGGTGACATTTGTGGCATTCATGTTTAAATGAACAACCTGCACAGCTACCTCCTCTGTGAAATTTGGGCAATAGCCAGTAGGCACATAAGTGCTATTCCGAGAGAAGCGAGATGTATTAAGATGCATACTATTATTCTTGTGCGGAAACTGCTGAGATCTTATCCAAAGCTCAAAGTGGATATTGACCCAAGGAAAATCAGCAGGCTTTTGCTGCCTCAAGTAATTGAAGTTGATGTCATAGTAAATCCAATTTGCCCCTTTTTCTGCCAAGTCTCTCACCACCTCCCCATACATAATTAGAAGTGTATAATCCAACAAATATCTGGAAAGCAGAAGTCGAGGTGTCAATAGTGCTATTGTTTTTGCTCTTCTGAAGTGGCTCAAGACACAATGTAGGCTGACCAGGGGAGTCCTTAGAGGTGTTGACTGAAATATTAAATTTCTCCTCTATGGGTGTTACCGTGATAAGTTGCTCAAAATTGATAAATTCGTTGGCCCAAATTTTGGCCTTCAATTTTGCTGTAACCCGGGCATCAATTGGCAAAGACATAGAAGTAAAGATGTCCCTTGGTCTGTCATGTGGTTGGGCTAGAGCCACCCCAGTTAAAGACTCACCTGAGAGAGTATGGCTAACAGAAGCCACAGACCCCTGTACAGTGGCATCTGTTTCTGTCAGTGCGGATGCTGAGGCAGACTGGTCAGACACCATAAAGGGGGTCAGAGACTGGACAACTGCTTGTGAGACAGGCTTGGCAATGCCTTGGACCATGGTTGCATTGGGGGTGACTATTGATGCTGATGTTATTGTTGCCGTTGGTGTAGGACGTATGGTTGCTGTTAGCGTTCACGCCACGGGAGCTGCGCGCCCATGTCTGACACGTGGAACCAGTGAGCCTGAGCTACCTACCACCTTTTTGGACCGTGATGGACGAGGCATTGTTCTAAGGGGGGAAAATAAAGACAAAACAAAACAGGCAGCAGGCAAAGCGAGGCCAGAGCAGATCATAACCTCTGGAAGTGGCCTTAAAAGCCAAGTTAAAAATGATACAGCACATTATAACACACACAAACAACATATAAACAGCACGGTAGCATGGCAGACAATACAACACAGTGTCGCCGCAGAGTGCTCCGTATAATGCTGTAAAAATATACAGTGCCAATATAGGCCAATGACAGCATGCCTGACTGGTGCTATGGAATTATCATAATAGCCCAAAATAGCCAGAACAACAATAAA